CATGGCTACATCTGTTGCTTCTGGCGCCAACGAGAATGCGGCGCGATTGCTTGGAGTCACATGCTGGTTGAACTTGAACAAATGTGTCACATCTCATTTGCAATTGACCGTGTTTCAAACAACAACGACGAATGCACAAATCATGAAAGAAGCGTTCTCGCGCATTAAAGAAAATGTGTTCTGAACATAATCTAGAAAAATCGCGTGCGGAATGCTGCATTTCTCCAACGTGTTAGCAGAGCAATTTAAACCACACACACGCATGTTCTTGGTAGCTCTACTTTTGGTAAAGAGTTAGCAGTTATGTCGAGCATTCGCCAAGTTAATTAGCGACAACCCAGGGCATATTTGTCAATGATGCTGAGAGTTGGTTAATTAGGCCGTGCTTAGTGATTGAAACGGAATTTACGTTTAAAGTTAAGTATAATGGTGGGCAGACATTTCAATTCTTAGCTTAGTTATGCGAGGAAGGAGTTGCGTTAGATAAGAAGAGCTCCCTCTTTCCGCTTTGGAAATGACAAGAATTTTCACAATAATTTTGGTAGCTAACTTCACAATTTACTCAGCAGCACTACTAGGCTTCCGATGCTGTCTTCAAGTGGTGATAAAAAAATGTAAAGTTTAAAATTGTCAAGTAATGCTTTCACCCTAGATCACGGGAGGTGGTATTCCGCAAGACTTACGAGTAAAATGACTAGCATTGGTAAACAGATGTTCCTTTTGTCTATAAAACGATTTAAAATGAATATTTGAAACAATGTGTAGATGGGAATTAGGACCAGGAAAAAAATTGATATTGAAGAGGAAATAAACGGTTACACTAAATGTTCTTCACCTATTTATAGAGGTACATTTAGATCAGGTAAGTGGACGTTTGATTAATGCTGACCTCCACATTAATTCGGCAGAACGAAGTCTTGGTAGTTTGTGCTGACCCACGTCGCCAAGTAGGCGAGTGTTTAAGACAGTGGCATGTGTTCATGGGAAAACATCAAAATAGCTGCAGCTAATGCTTTTGGCGCCAACAAGAATGAGGTGTAGTCGCTTGGAGTCACACACTGGTTGAACTCGAACAAATGTGTCACATCTAATTTGCAATTCACTGCGTTGAAACAACGACGATGAATGCACAAATCATGAAAAAAGCATTCTGGCGTATTTGGGTGAATGTCATTTGAACACAATGTAAACAACTTGCTTGAAGAATGCTATATTTCTCCAACTTATGCCAAATAGTTTGCTGTTATATTGAGCATCCAAAAAGTTAATTAACGACAACCCAGGGAATGTTTGTCAATGATGCTAAAAGTTGGTTTATTAGACAGTGCTTAGTGATTTAACGGAAATTACGTCTAAGGTGAAGCAGCGTTGTGCGCAGACATAGTAATTCTAGTCTTATTATCCAAGAAAGAATTTGCATTAGATATGGGTGGGCTCCATATTGCCGCGCTGGACATGACTTGACTTACCGCAGTCATTTTGAAATCCAAATTCACAATTTGCTCAACAGCAGTGGTTGGCTTTAATGGCGCCTTCAAGTGGTGATATAAAATGTGTAAACTTTTAAATTGTGAAGTTATAAGTTTATTCTAGATCACAGGTGGTGGTATTCCACAAGACTTACGAGTAAAATGGCTAGCGTTGGTAAACAGATATTCCCTTTGTTTATAAAACGATTTATAATAAATTTTTTGGAACAATGTGGGGAGGTGAGGTTGGATCAAGAAAACAAGTGAGATTGACAAGGAAAAACCGTTTTCAACATATGTTCTTCAGTGATCAGTAAAAGCACAGTTGGATCAGGTAAGTGGACGTATGGTTTAGAGGGTCAACGGGTTCATAAATATCCATCCGGATTTTAAAAAAATTTCGTGAAAACTCGTAACTGAATTTATTTTTATTCCTTTAGTAGAATGAAGCTGTTTGTTGAAATTGTAATCTTTATTATTTTGTTAAAATGATCTCTAGAACAATTTAGTTTGGAACAGAGCATGTATTTTAATGGAAGAAACGGGAATATGACACCACGTGATATCAGTCTTCATAATTTAATACAGATTTATTAATTTCTGCACAATAGGCGAAATATATAAATAATTTGACAAGAGTTGAAGAATGTTGTTTAAAGTTGTAAAAATATTCAGACATTGATATACATATATAATTTATGATTTTTTAAAGTATTTGATAAACCAAGAAGACGAAAAATGCAATTCGTAAATAAACAATAAATTAAAAAATTAAAGTTAATGCTGTAATATTTAAAACAATTAAACAAACTGTCTAAATTCACTTCATGATGATGACCTTGACGAGAGCGACCCTGTGTATGATTATGCTGTGAGCTTTGTTCATCGTCTGTCACATTTTGAGTTTAGAACGATTATTTCTTATCGTAATCTTACACAACGGAAATCGGCCTCATTAGTATACTTGCTTTGAAAGTGACAAATGGTTGTATGACTACTTTAAGTCCGTAAAAACATAATGCTTCTTAAATTTCGACCAATTTTTACGAAATACAGGCCTATGTGTTCCTTTAACACTCTGGCGCTGTGTCCACTAGTATCACCCTTACAAGTCAGCGCGAGGTGCAAACAGACATATCGCAATAGATATACCCATTTTGCAAATGCGTATCCCCAATCAATCAGCAATGGCTATATCGTACTTGGAGCTCTTTGTGCTGGTGGCCTGTGGTTCTTTACTTTTGGAGGGTAGATTCAATTTGATTTCGTGATGGTCCCTTTTTAGTGGTGAATGGGCGGAGGAGAAACTTGACAAGTGGTCCGCGAAAAAAAGAGAGGTATGTTGTATGATAATTTATAGCTGTAGGAATCTAAAGTGAATAAAGTTGAATGCCAGTCTCCTGATGACTTAAAAGAAGAAGATGAAGAAACAAGTAAAGATATCCCGGTAAAACCCAAGGTGAAGAACAGCTTTCGTACTCGAAAGGTCAGTATATTTATCTCATTAGCATATTTGTTAAACCTGTGGACGGTCGTCTTTGATTGTGTGTTAGTTTCTTTATCCTATTAGTTCCAATAGGAGCACGAATAAGGTTTGTTACAATTGCTCTGACTGCGATGGTTGACATGTCTGTAGCTGCCTTATCTCTCTATTTATCCTCACAGTTCATTGCCTATGAAGATCGAATCCGTGCCTATTCGACACCAGATAAGATTTTTCGCTACTTTGCAACTCTAAAATGCATCGGAGAAGATGGCACATCGGAGATTTTCATGACTCCGGAGGATTTTCTTCGAGCGATTACACCGGGCACGAAGCAGCCTGATGGGCTAGATCTTGACTCTTTCATACGATTTGATCCGAAGGTTTGTTCCCATTATAAATGAAGTTGTAATGAAGGATTCTTTTTTCTAGAAAGACATATTGGATCTAAATGTATCCAAAGATTCCGTCTTTTATTGTCTTGGCAAGAATGCGTTGATATCGTTCACAGATTTCGTCTTCCTTCTCACCGTAATTTCCAGTAAGTCGCCTGTCCGTGATCTTAGCCTTAAAATGGGACATTTTTAACAAATGTGTTGCAATTTGTAGCACCACAGCGTCAATTTGAGATAGCATTCCGTATGTTTGACATAAACGGCGATGGCGAATTAGACTCGAGTGAATTTGACGTGGTAAGTTCGCTTTTATTCCACGCATTCGATTGCCTCTTTTGAATATTTTAACGTGTCTCACTCTATCAATAGGCTCTGGCTTTTTCTTAGTTCACAGTTTTTCACTCTTGAATTTCATGCCGTATAATTTCTTGTAACCCTCTATTCTGCTTACTGTTCTACTCATGCCTATATTGTGTGGGTTCTAACCAGCTCACTGATTGGCCAAATATCACTACCCGGACCTGATCACGTGATTCTTATTGGCTCCTCGCTCATCACTAACGATAGTGCCATTTTTATCCCAACGAACCGCAAATAGCTTTGGCTTACGTCGGCGAACTTCGGGCTGTGGGACAATTAGGCCACGTTTCATGTAAATAGGCACTGTTTTAGGGACTTAGGGGAATCGGCCCACCATCGTGTTTTGGGGGGGCAAAGGCCATTTTATTTCAACTTACGCACACACGCACCATTCCAGTGTTTGCACCCTGTAGTCCTGTAACCAGTAACTTTAAAGTTGAAAACATACCTTGCGTTTATTTGCATTCACGCAGTTTTGGTGGCTGTGATTTCTGAAATCAGTAAGGGTGAGGTAACTAATCCATCACGCGGAGGGGTGTCATTTTAACCCTGTTGCATGCGGCGAATACATCCAATCTCTAGTCTTTGTTAAATTGAGCGCATGATGTTCCCCAGTTAGTGTCGGTTACAAGTAGATTACTTCGGCTAATTATGGCCTTCCCAATACTGACCACAATTATGGAGCACTCGCGAACCTGTTAAATATCGACTTTGTACAAACTCATTACACTAGGTGACTAGCCCAGTAGTTAAATTTTATTGATTAGCTAAACGTGATTTCCCTTATGGGTATGTTTAAGGACATCTTGGGTTCTGCCGGCGGTACGTTTTAAAATTCCTGGACAACTTCTGGTCGAGTCGGGGTTCCGAATAACAAGTTCTACATGAAATAATGTGCCTTTTCAATAAGTCTGCTTCGGTAATCGCACGACCAAAATGAATTGCAGTGAACTTACAATACCAATGCTGCTGTCGCCATACAGAGACATTTAGAGATATGAACCACGGATGACAGCTGTGAATAAAGAAATTGCAGTATCATTCAATTCAATGAGATTTAAAGCATACAGGGCAAATTTAGGGTCGGTGCTAATCAGGTGAAAAATGTCAAACACGCATTTTTGAAGCACATCGAAATTTTGTGGCTGCTTCCTTTAACATTCAGTCAGTCCCCAATAAACAGTGTCTTGCCATGTTGAGGTAGCTGGGTGTGTGTTTTCGCGTGAATCTATTCACATGTGTCCTCGTTTGTGTGCGCCTGTTATTTCACATGTGTGTTCTGTGATCGGGTGTGTTTGTGTTTGATCACTCGCACATGTGTTTTTATGTGTGTTCATCTGTTTGATCGTGTGTGTGCGCGTGTGTTGGTGTGTTTGTGGCCAATGAACAGTGTCTTGCCATGTTGAGGTAGCTGGAGGTGTTTTCGGGTGAATCTATTCACATGTGTGCTGTGATCGTGTGTGCTTATGTTTGGTCACTCGCACATGCGTTTTTGTGTGTGTGTTCGGCTGTTTGTTTGTGTGCGTGTGTAGTCACAAGTGTGTTAGTTTGTGTATGTTTAGTCTTCTGCCTTGGTGTGTTTGTGGCCTCGTATGTGTGTGTGCTTGAACCTGCGTGTGAATGTGTGTGTGTGTGCCCATTTTACGCGCAAGTCACTTGACCTTGCAGGTGAGGTCGGTCATTCTGGACACCACAGCGATGGGCAAACGCCACCGCGACCACGCAACCACGGGCAGCACCCTGAAGTCAGTCAGCCACAGCGCTCTGCACGACTACTTCTTCGGCAAAGATGGCAAAACCAAGTTGACCATCGCCAAATTCCTCGATTTCCAGGCTCGACTGCTGGAAGAAATCACACACTTGGAGGTTGGTCTGTTCAATTCTACTGCAACGCCAGTTTTCCGGCTGCCATGGCTTCTTAAACTCAAATTCACTTAGCGTTCATTTCTATTACAACACTGCTAAAGTATCAAATCGTCTTAGAAATGATCGTGTGTGTTTACACCCACACCGCTTAAACTTCCGCCTTATTCCTTTGTGCTTAAACATCCGTCGTTTTTTAATGCAGTTCACAAAACTGCAACAGGGTGTCAAGGTAAGTGCAGCACAACACAACTTATCCATCAGCACTCAAGCTCAGCACCCCCTGGTTATCCGTACGGTGTATAATTATGAGCTTTTTCGACATTCACCTCTCTCCCTTTCTGGGAAATAATCACATATGCGAGACGCGGACGGTGGTTTTACGCAAATGCACACAATTTCCTGATTAGTTTGTAGATTCAGTGCTTGTTGTGTTTGTTTGCTGCTCTCTTTATCCTCTGCTATAAATTGCAACTCTATTTAAGCAGTGCCTTGAGTCTATGCGAACACGCTCTTTACACATACTATTCACTTTCTTTCTTATCAAAATTATCTTATTGGTTGTTGATAAGGTACTCGTTTCACAAGATTTTTGGTTTGACGCGTCGTAGGGGTGCCATAGTGTCATCCAGGCAGTATTTTAAAAAAAGCTTCCGTAAAGGTTCCAAAGAATAGGTGCAACCTTGTGAATAGCGACTTCGCCCATTTAAAAAAACTCAAGATCAAATGCCGTATTTAAATAAATGTTGGCTATTCTAGCAAGACAAGCACATCCAATCACTTGGCATTCTCAGGTAGTGATTGTGTTTACATTTATACAGGCACTCGTGCTCTAACACAGTCGATATTTGGCACTTTGATGAATCAGAATTTTGTAGAAATGCACTTTGCCACACTCTTTGGACTGCATCAACCAATTACCTGTTGTTGCTTCCTTACTCCTCCTCTTCCTCCTTGCTTACTATGGGGCGTTAACTTAAACCGAGAAGATAATTGTCTTAATTAGCTAGTGGGATTTTGCACATGCATGACACTCCACATTTCTTTTTTACAATTCTACAAGGAATGGGTCGTCTCTTTCGTTGCCATGGTGACATCCACGAGGCATCGTTTCTGATCAGTTGACACGACAAGGACTTAAGTCAAAATCTTAGTTTCACGGAAACTGTGCGCAATAACTCATTCGACGTTGCTCTGCCTTTTGCCATTCTGCATGCGTTCCAGTGTTTTGATAACGCTCGGGCCTCCACCAAGTTATTCCTATGCTCTGTGTCTGTAATATGCATTCTCTGTTTTAGTTTGAACGCTGCGGCCCTGAAGACGGCAGAATTAGTGAGCGAGCATTCGCCAAATCCCTCCTGACTTACGCAGGCTTCTCCGAGAACAGGCGACGCCTTATGATGCGACGAGTGAAAAAGAAGTTCGTCGATGGTGATGAAACCTCAGAAGTACGTTCATGCTTTTAGGTGATTAGACTGACATCGTTCTCTGATTGTCTTACCCTAAAGTGACAGTTGATTGTAAAGAACCCTAACGCTTTTTGCTTCACAGGGAATCACCTTCCAACACTTCCTGGATTTTTCTCGCCTCCTACGTTCAATCTCGGAGCTGGATACTGCGCTTACTTTTCACACCCTGGCTGGGGCAGCTGTTGACCAGGCCACGTTCCTGCATGTGGCCAAAGTTGTCGCAAATGTTCAGTTAAGCCCTCACTTGGTCGACGTTGTCTTTACGCTCTTTGACGAGAATGGTAAGCGTCCCATGCGATTCCCAGTAAACCACTACTACTTAAGTTAATCAAATGCCAAAATGTATGTGTAAAAATACATCAAAGCCCTCGAAGGTTTGGCTTAGTACCGTTTTCGTAATCGGTCACTCTTAATCTAGCGTGACTTTTTGTTTTTCGTCTTTCGTTCTAAGTAGACAATCTTCACTGAGAAGGGTCAGGTAAATGCCAACTCAACTTACTTGTTTGTGGTCACTGAATGAGACTAATAATGCAATTTATCGTGCCGTAAGGGCAATATTATTTGACTTATAACCTCGATCTCGACTCTTAAATTGTACACATTTAATTTCCATTAGATGACGGTCAGCTTAGCTACAAGGAGTTTGTGCAGGTGATGAAGAATCGGCTGTACCGCGGATTGGATAAACCAATGGACACTGGATTCATTCGTTTTATTAATGCAATCTTCTACTGTACGCACCAGGAGATACGTCGGCGTCTACAATAATTCTGCTTTGAATTTTGCTCCTTTTTCTAGTTAACTTGCTTCTCTTTTCTTGTTCCTCCTATCATGTATTATCATATTAGGAGGTCCGGCACAGAACTCTTCAGAAATATAGCGTGCTTTGCTCAACATGCGCTACCAGATCTTTCCAGTAGCAACATCGAGTGCCTTTGTGTGCAATGTGCAGCATGGGATCACAGAAATACCTTCGTCAAGAAGGCCGCCAGTCAATATAGTAGTTCCAATAATCCCAAGTTCATTTGAGCGTACATTTGCCAAAGATTGGTAGTTTATTTCTCAGACATTTTAGATATGAAGGGCAGTTTAAAATAAAAGTAGCGTGGACGATGCAGCATCAGTTTAGAATTTAAGTGATCGTAGTTCGATTTAAGAAATAATATTTGTCACAATTTCAAGGCCAAAATGGGCACAATCCATCCGTTTTGACATAATCGTTCCCAATGTAGGCTAAAACATATGCAATAAACATGGGTTGATGTCGAAGACTTTATTACGTCTGGTTGATTTAATAATAGTTTGCACGCATTTGGTGCCAGGAAATGAAAAAAAATGTTTTAAAGCAAATCCAAACTTAACAATTTTTGTAATGCGTTAATTAAACAAAGGTTTATTAAACACAAAAATTTGCTAGAAAGTAATAGTGGCATTTGTTCTGCATTTCAAGTGTGCTGATTAAATAATTTCTAACTGCAGAAATGTTAGCCAATAGCAAATAGGTTTATCAACTCGCGTGCGAATGAGTCCTTAACCCTAATCTGCATTTTGTCTCCGATCTAGCCCAAATGTCTTACTATGGCGTTGCCTTGTCTGGTGGCTCAAGCACCAAATTTTGCTACGATTATGTAATTCCAACTGCTATATCTGCCGTTTGTCATCCTTTCGTGTGTGCACGAACTCTTATGATGGTAACTACGGGTTGTAATCCACACGTTTCTGAATAGTTGGGTCACGAATTTGAGCCTCCTACATTAGGCCGAAACATTTTTGGTCTTCAGAGGTACATGTATCCCAACGTTTTTTACTACTGTAAGTTTTTGTTTTGTCCAAATTGCTTTTGTAGTGGGTTATTTGCGTGAGGATGTTGGGCTGTACAATGTATTCACTGTGGGACTTCCCGCTTCCATCATTGGCTCAGCCATTAAGTCGTGGGTTTGTGAGTACTATTTACAAGTAAGCTCAAGATAAATACCATTTTACTGTTGAATGGTTTATATTTTTTCCAATTGCTTCACGGGTCTGTTATTAGCGCCTCTTTTTTTTAAAATAAAGCTTAAATTGACAACTGTTACCAATTTCGTAGAGCTGCAGCCATGATTCGCCAAGGTCAATTGTATTCTTTTCTGCTTTTCATATCTTAGGGAAGGCCACAAATTTTTCATTCATAATAAAACCGTCGCCAATCGCGAATCGATTATTATTGTTTTATCAGTCAAATCATCATCGGATGGTTAAGAAATATTGGGATGGAAGCAATCAAACAGATCTACACGCGTATTTTCACAGATTCCATCTTGCTTCCTTCGAAAACTTAACTCTACTGAAAGCACTTGGTTTCTTCGCTATTCTTTTTCATGGATCTTTGCGTAAATTATTTCGTTCGCTAAAGCCTACTTTTACCTTATTGAGCAATTGAGGAAAAGCGTGTTTTTTTAAAAGACAAACCTAATGTAACGAAGTCGGTGGTAGTGTGTTTCCACTTTCGGCAACAGCATAATTATGTTTATTTCTTTTCGCCTCTCTCAATCTTATAAAATCGCTAAATTGTCCATTTGAAAATATTTTCTGCCTGAAGCGTGACTTGTTGGTGACTAAATGGCTCTCACAGTAGATCCTATTTCTGTTACAATTATTTTAATTCTTTCTCCAGAAAAACGTGATTGGATACTTCTACAAGAAGTCAGTCATCGAAACGCAAAAGGGCTGGAAGGTGTTTTTCCAGGAGGTATGGCGCACATTAATGATTTTACGTGTCATGTGTTAGACCTGCAAGTTGACGGCAGGTCGTTGCCTCGGCCTCATAGCGAGCTACCCTCTGCAAGGTGAGTAGTGCTCCGTTAATACTCTGGTTCCGTTTCAGTAATAATGATCCGTCAAATCGCCCAGCACGTTGGCAAGGAAACCCTCTACAACAGTATTCTGAAGGCTTTTGTCGAGATTAACGTCAACGAGGGATTGCCTGGCCTGTTTAGGCAAGTACCGTTCCCCTGCATCGCTTGTTTTTCACCTCTCATCTCTACCGTCTTGTTTTCAAGCTGATGTCTAGTCGTCTGTCCTAAGCGTGTATCCTAACACGAACTTGGCGATTAAGTACTATTTGTTAATATTGACGTCATTGATGTGCCTTCCACTGCCAGACAAACTGGCGTAGCCAATCAGAAATCAGTGGCCAGCATGGGTACAACATGTTTCTCTGCCTGGTTGACGTGTTGCCGGCTCAGTAGGTTTCGCATCCAGGCTTCCAAGGCTGTCAATCAGCCCCACTACCACAATAATTTCGTGTTTGCCTGATTCCCACCCAAACAGGTGCTACTGCACTCTCAAGTACAGCACCGTAAAACCCAGGTACACACGCTAGGGAACATCACCTCGAATGCTTGCGATGTCTCGCTTTTTCTCTCTGCCTTTTCTAGTGGTCTTATTCCCCGGCTTTTGGGTGAAATTATCACCGTCTGGCTAACCGCTGGCCTCGCCTACGCCCTGGATACTTATATTTTTACCGAGGACATTGATTATAAAATCAGGGAACAGTCGCCGTATGTTGCTAGTGTGAGTACTCTCTTAGCCTAACAAAAGCCTTATCACCTCTCGAAGTGACCTTGTGTGTTTTGAAAGAACCGCCAGGATGCACCAATGCGAAACGTGCTCTCCTCGCATTTAATTGGTGGCTGTGGTAGGCCGATGCGTTGGTTCACGCTGAGTTTGCCTACTTACAAAACCACCATTAGCTTTTCATTTTGATTATCCCTATTCCCGACCGCTTTGTGATATTTCCGTAATCAGATTAACACACTCTTGGAATCTGCGTTTACGAGAAGATTACCAGAAGCTTAATCGCGTTCTCCGATACACTCGTACGCACAGAACCATTGCAACTTACCAGCATTTGAGTCATGTACAACATTGGTTTTAAAGCTGCGTCTTGTCATCTTGCGCTGAGTTACTGTGCAGGTATCAACATGCTAAGAAAACTCAAGTGTGAGAACTGCCATCACCACAACTGGGTGGGTCGAAACACGAACAGTGCGTGTGTGCATGAGTCCGTTTTCGTGCGTTCTGAAACCGCGAAGATGTCCACGTGAGGTAGCGAGTTGAGAGTACTCTGTTGACAGGTTAAATCGATTCGTTTTCACCAAACCATTCTCCTCACACACACACTTTAAGTCTCCTCATTTGCGCGTCGAATCAGCGCCTCTACATCGATTTCCATCCACCAATAGCATGTCCCGTGGTTCAACCGCCGTTTTTGAAGTAGAAACAAAATTGACTAGCAATTTCTCCCTGCTTCAGCTCCTTGTTTCTTCGTGCACTCATCGACTCACCGTCACGTCAACCGTCATGGCTGTTAGCGGTTCAGGGTGAGTTTAGCGCGTAGTGCACGCCCCAGCGAGCCTAGTCAGGCTCTCACTTTGCGTGTCTTTAATTTCAGTCTCTCTGTCGCATTGCCTTTCAAGAGCAGTTGGGATTGCTACAATTACCTCTCTAGGAGGGTACGTTGAAGTTGTTCTGCACGTGGTCAGAATCGACGCCACATTAATCCGCCTACTAAATACTAATAAGTAACGCAAATATTTCCCCTTTTCAGAACGCGTTCCATCGTGGAGCATCCTTCTTCTTCCGCTATGCCTCTGGTCCACTGTAAAGAGCCAAGTTTCACTAAGGATTTAGTTAATAGTTTGCCAAATTGTTTGCTTGAAAATGAGCTACCTAAACTGGTGCGAGCATGAATAAAGCTGTTTTTCCACGAACTCATGGTGTGTTATGTAGGGGGTACTTAGGCTGGCTTTAATACGAAAAGAGGTTACATATTGATGTTTAAAAAAAGACGACGATTTTAATGGGAATCTGGGTGTTCATGAGGAGGAGGAGGCCTTGAGAGCAAACAGGACGTCGGACTGGGAGCAATTGAGACGCACGAGCATGTTGGTGTCGCGTCGGGAGGCTTCAACGAGGATGAGTTTGTAGGCTCCGAGCGCAGCGCACATGCTGAAGACCTCGGTGTCTGTCGGCCGTGGAAGACCTGTCAAGGCAGAAGCGGACGGTGAGTCGCTTCACGCGCAACGCTAGGAAAACCAATGGTACTTCACCTTCCAGATTGCAGAGCGCGTACATCTGTTCCATGCAACGATCCAGCCGGACCTCCTCGGCCGAACGAGCGCTGGCCTCGGAGACGATGGCGCGCAGCAGGAGTTTCTCGTAGTGCGACGCGGAGCGCAGAGCCGTCAGCTTCGGCGAGGTGAACATTTCCTTGAGGGCGGCGTTGACGTGGTGGATCGTGGTGGGCGTCTTTGCGCCCTCCTGACGAGACAGTTCAGCGGCCCTGCGACAGACGTCGAGGGCGCGTCGCGCGTCGCCCGACACCGCGGCAACCTTCCTGCCGGCCAGTTCGATGGCCTTCGGCTGAAACGAAGAGTAAAGCGGTGTGAAGGAGACGGTGCTGGCGGACATCGGACACATCCGGTGAGCGTCTACTGACAGCGAAAGTGGAGCTCATTTCCGTGCCGAGTCGCGAGGTCACAATCTCGGCGAGCTGTTCGTGGGAGTAGGGCGCGAATGGCAGACGGTTGAGGCCCAGACGGCTGGCGACGCGGTGGTGGAGCAGGCGTTCGGGCAGGTCCATGGTGTTGGCGATGGCCAGCACCACGAGTGGACGTCGGCACCGCTGGCCGGTCTGGCGGCAGGGCCAGTCGAACAGCGAGTAGAGCACGTCCTGACGCCTAGAGCAGAGCAGATCTAGCTCGTCGATGAGGAGCACGCACGTCGGCTCGCCGGTCTGCGTGCGGCACGGTGCGCAGAACTCGTGTTCCAGCTGGGCCATCGCCTTGGCCACCGACACGCGTGCGCCTTTGAGCTCCTGCAAACCAGAAGTTGATCAGATACATCGAATCCAAGCAACACACACCGACCACAATTCGGAATGGATCAAATTATAACCTGGTCGCAATGTGTGGATGCCTTATTTCGTCACAAAGATTGCACGGTTTGAGCTTATGCGAAAGACATCATTGAACTAACACGTGCGCGAGAAGCGTCGACTTTACAACGAACTCAATTTAAACAGCTCGTCCATACACTGAGTCGCGATGATGCTTATTAGGACGTGTGACCCGTTGGTACTCTACGCACAGCTGATCCTCCGAGTAACAGTCTCCAAACACACCATCTCCGCTCTTCTTTGCGTGTTAACAAGGGGAGAACGCTTTGAAGCTACAGACGGGCAAACTGACCTCGTAGATCCGGACGTACACATGTCGAGGCTCGGAGACCTGCATGCCGTTGACGGCGATGAAGGTGAAGGGAGGGATCACGCTGTGACCGGACGCATCCACGCACCCCGCCATGCTCTCCACAACCGCTGTCACCGTCGCCGTCTTGCCGGTTCCTGGAACCCCGGAGATGTACATACACCTGCGGCGAGATGGCAAACGAACAAAGAGGCATAAGAGGATGGCGTGAAGTTGACACGCAAGCAGTTGTGTGACTTGACGTACCCTCCGGTACGATTCTGAAGTCTCTCAAAGAGGAACTCAAAGATAGCGTCGAATTCGCGTTCACGACAGGGAAGAGAGTCGGTGAGGCGCGAGGCGTGAAGTCTAAAGCGAGAGGGACATGGATTAGGGCATGTTTCGTGTAGAACCGCAGACGTAGAACGGCTGGTGATTACTTGGAGAGTAGGGTCTGGCTGCCTCCAGTGCGTTTTGGAAGAATTGATGTGTCAACCAGTGGCACTGACAGCGTCTACAATCCAAAACGCCGCGTATTTTTGTATTTTTGTTAGACATGATATGCATCAAGCACTTAAGAATCGATTTAAACACACCTGGGGAGTGCTCTTGAACGTTGAGGCACGCTTGCGAGAATGCCGTGACTTTTTACGTTGTGTCCACGCGTCCACTGAACTGTCGGTAGATGACGAGGACGCTGAGAACTCAGAGGAGTCTTCCTCCTCCTCGTCATCATCATCCTCGTCGTCAAATGAGGGGTCGCTGTCGGATGAGGACGAAGTAGCGTCGGGGACGGTGGTGACATCGTCTGCACTGTTGATATCATTGGAAGCACGCAGCGGGTGTCTACGCGTAGAAACTCAATTACATACAACGCTAAACTCACCGAGTGGGTGTTCTCAACTGCCTTGAAGCAACTAGAACGAGAACAAATGAAGCTTGGTTAGCAAGAAGGATTTGATCCGCACACACACACACACGCACACACACCTAGCCCTTCTCGACGTCGTGGAATGGTTTTAGGGGTTGCTGGAATTTTCGATTTAGGTGGTGAGCTGGCGTGCAGGTGCTCGAAGTAGTAGAGGATCTTGGTTAGAGCCTCATCCTTGCATGTGCGTCGTGGTGTACGTGGAGTTGTCGGAGGCGGCATTGCATTTCGACTACAAAGAGGAGACCTCGGCTGGATCGGTCTGTCATCTGCGTTGAGGATGAGGAGAAAAACAACGCGGAAGATGAGCAAAGCGTGGGACAGTTGGGCGGGATTACAAGGTTAGAATGCACGCAGAGGCTAAGGAGGTTACAAGATTAGCTTGACTGACCACTGGTGGTCGTTACAAGAAAAAAACCCTACCCAACTTAGCATCATTTTCCGGCTATTCTTCCTGAATAACAAACGAATCGATCAAAAGCACAAACAGAAAAGAACGGAATATCAAATTAGCCCATTTGTGCACACAATGTAAGGAGATCGGTCGTGTAAACATGAAACACGATCGGTTTTTTCAGCACAGAAAAAAATTTACAGTGTCCGAAATCGCAAGAAAGGTGACTGCGTGCACAGTTCAATGCAAGGAATCGGTTTGTGGATAAGTGACTCCCTGTGGAGTTATTTATGAGTTCAAACAGAGGATCATGCGGTATTAGCGAGGAGATGAATAGCAGCCCAGTTAAAATTGTCGGGTTTGAAAACAGCGTGACAAAAAAACAGTAAGGAAGAAAATTGTGGGAGCTAAAATAAGGAGCAGGAAGTTGAAACAAGACAATAATAAAGCATGCGAAAGTGTCGTGGGACGGATGGCTTCGGATTGAGACAAGAGAGAAACGAAACAAAAACGGATTTCACAAAGATGGACAGAAATTCGAATAACTGATGATGGGATAGGGGGATTTCAACTCACAACCAACTTCTTAATGTGAAACGAAGTCAGGGTTTTAAAAAAATGCAGGATAAGTGTAACTCAAAGGGAGTAGGACTAGACTATGTTACCTCTTCGATACAGTCTAGACCACCACAAGCTAACCCGCAATCACCAGCCGTGAACAAACAACCCGATTGCTGTAACAGTTGTGAGTTTCAGTTTTGATGCTCACTGAAGCCAAGACATACAGAGCAAGTATCATGGTCAACATTTTTAATTTAATTTCTAGAGATTTTGCTAACGTAGCTTTCCTGCAAAGGACGTCGTATAGAGACGCTCTTTCCCTTAAAAAGAGGTATTACAAATCGGTTGGAACAAACACAGAGAAAAGACAACAAATCCGTAAATTTTAAAAAGTATTTGACATAAATGAAAACACATTCAGCGATGAAAAGACAGTAGTGCCCATGGGAACGTCACAAGGAACGTTAAAACCAAACTAATTGCTCTGGGTGGTGAACAAATGAGTTTCATACGACAAGAATAACCCAATGAGTACGAAATATGGGAATGTCCTTTACATGTACAATAAACAGTTCAAGAAAACGCCGAAATTACCTGGAACCTTTAAATTTCGGGTCATCTCAGTCTTGCGTGGGGAAACTTTCCTTGGTGGAATATTTTCTTGACTTTCCTCGGACTCATGCCTACATTTTGATGACAAAGATCTATGGCGATATGCTAAATAATATATATATGCAATGCAAGAAGCACGTACCGCTCATCGTACGAATAATAAAAAAGTGTCCTTGCAACCAGATTAATCAACCAGTGATGAATCGGATCATTTTCGAAAAATTTCGGAGTATTAACATCATCATTATAAATCACAGTCAGAAAACCAGAAAACTGAATATGTTTTAAAAGCTATTTAGTTATTTTGTAAAATCTTTCATAGATTATAGTCACAATGGTCCCTAAATTAGGTTATCGATCTAGTTTTTGCAAGAGAAATATGATCGGATGTGGAATTCTTCACAATAACCTGATTGGTTGAAAATAACAGCGGTCCGTATAATTTTGTCGTCTGTGAAATTATGTAATCAGCTGATTTTTCCTTAAAAAATGTAAGTTGACAAAATCAAAATGTCTAAATTCCAACTTATTTAGAAGCCAGCAATGTTGCATTTTAGGCTAACTTATTAAATTAGGTAATAATACAAAGCATTTTCTATTTTGTATCGTCTCTGCTTTTCAGGAAAATTAGTGCGTTTTGGGCTAGTTTTATCTTCCAATTTGGTTACTTGTTATATATAGTTTAAATTTAGACTTGCACCTTATCAATTCTGGATAACCCCAAGCATTGGGTTTGAATACTCAAATGCTTTACTATATTAAAATATGTGTAGTTTTTTTTATTATCATTGCACCAAGTCATTTTTTGCCGTAAGCGACAGTTAAGAATTTAGTCTCGACTCGCTAAGTCTTGTACACTAGGATGCGCACTTCAGAGACTTTTAATTGACAAAGTCTAATAAACAGCGCTGCTTTTCTTCATCATTAATGATAAGTATCTTAAACTTTTTTGTGCGCATTCGGCGGTAAACGGAGAACTAGATTTTCCTATTCAAGCTACTCCACTTCACTCTGATTTTACCAGAAGATACAGTAGCATGATGCAGTTCTCAACATTCTCTTATGACAAATATTTATGTTATTACGTTTGATAAGTGTAATTTTGGTAGTGTAATTTTTGTTTGCATGCATTAATAGATAGTAAATTCAAATGAAATAAGATGAGGCCGTTTCAGAACAGGTTAGACCTAGGTACAATTTCATTCCCTAATCAGTAATTCCTGTCTCGCTTCTGTTTTGTAGGACTTACTGTCGTCGCCATTGTGTGGACCAAGGCCTCGTCTTTGTTTTAACCTTCTTTGCCTATGCCCTTATGCACGGCAGCCGCAAAGTTTTGAGTTCTGTGAAACCCGTAATGGTTGCCCACTTTGTTCCGAATGTTGAAAATGTTACCGCCACACTGCACCCCTCTGACTTATGGTACCGGCCCCATCCGTTTTTCGCTTCGACAGATGACGCCATCCTATTCATGGGCGTTCTGGATTTCCTATTCCTTCTCTCGTACGCTGCTGGTCTCTACGTGAGTGGATGGCTTGGTGATCGTGTAGACCCTCGATACGTCCTTGCTGGAGGTATGCTTACTGGCGCCGCTGCGACGTTTCTTTTCGGCGTTCCCCCTGAATGGGGACATTTTTACAACCGATATTGGTACGCTGGCCTGTGGCTTGCCAACGGCTTCCTTCAGGGCCCCGGATGGCCTGCCTGCATTTCCCTCGTCGCGCATTCCTTCCACTCGGCTCATGGTCTCATTCTAGGCATCTGGTCCTCCTCAGCTGGCTTCGGAAATATCATCGGTGCCATTCTCTCATCCGCAGTCATCGACTACGGCTACGAGTACGTCTTCCTAACGATCTCTCTCATTCTCGCCGCGGGAGCAGTTATTACCTTCTGCGGTATACCAGCAAACGTCGTGGAAAAATCAACCGCCTCTGCCGCCCCACACACTCCAGAATCTCGCAACCTCTCCTTTTGCCGTGTTCTCCTACTCCCCGGCGTGATTTGCTACGCGCTTGCATTCGCCTGCCTAAAATTGGTCAATTACTCCCTGTTCTTTTGGCTGCCCTACTACCTGCACAACAAATTCGGCTGGGACGCGGGCGCTGCCTCTGCCCTGTCCGCGTGCTACGACCTGGGTGGTTTGTTCGGTCAAATTATAGCCGGTGGCATCTCCGATCTGCCGTGCATTTCCCGACATTGGGTCAACACCGTCTTTCTGCTTGCCTGCGTGCCGTGTCTGTTCGCCTACCGTGCCACACCGGGAACCTCGCTGGCTCTGAATGGTTTCGTGATGAGCGTCACTGGCTTCTTCGTCGCCGGACCCTCCAACCTGCTGTCGGCAGTGCTGGGGACAGATCTCGCCCGCCTGCCCAGCCTCCGAGGCAAACGCGTTCTCTCCACGGTAACTGGCCTTATTGACGGCACGGGAAGTTTTGGGGCGGCGTTTGGTCAGCTGCTGGTGCCTTTCATGCAATCCCACTATGGCTGGAACTCAGTTTTCACCCTTTTTATCGTGTGCTCTGTTTTAACCCTGCTATTCGTCATCCCACCGCATATCCAAAGCGTTAGATCTCGGGAAACTCCCCACGAAGAACTTGTTCCCTCGTCTGACTAGTGTTTTTACCCACTCCAGTGTATCTGTGTTTTTATTTGCTAAATTGATTTTATCTGCGTCTTTTAACGAGCCACTTAATCGACATTCGACTGAATAAAATACGCCTCTATTTTCTCGCGAGCAGTCGTTAACGGTGTGTGCTGCAACACTGTTTCATGGTGGGTAATAAAACTTAATTACCATCATTGTTAATATCTTGGTGAACTAATGACCTAAACGTACATACTTCATTCCCCCACCTGTCGCAAATACGCGAATTCTCCGTCAAGGTGCTCATTCCTTGTGTTGTGAATGGCTCATCATGGCAGTGAATCGGCCAATGGCGGCTGAGAGGCGCGTGTTCATTCACTCATGCTGTCAAGTTGTGGTGGTGCGTGGGGAAGGTTGCCGTGGTGACCTGTAAACACAAGTGTGAGGGCCAGGCTACTTAATTACTTCCGCCTCCATTCTACCAATTCAGTTTTGAATAAAGTTATGAGTTGGGAAGACTAAAACTGGCATATGGAAATATCGATCGTAGGAAGAGCGACTTAAATCGCACTAAATGATTGTCGCAGTTCTCAAGTTTATCGCCAAATCAGTTTCTGTCGCCATTGTACCGATTACTTCTGATTTTATGTTATTTAGATTTATCTAATTCCTATTTAGTGTTATCTGGTAAAACAGATACACACAGGATAAGTAGTTTCCTATTTACTGTAATTAACAGCCCGATAAGAGTGGAAAAAGAGGCGACAGAGGACACTACCGTTTATTAGCGTCATGCCAGCCAAGTGTCCTAGTGTGTGGACGAGTGAACGGATGACAGGCATCTGATACAGTAACCAATGAAAAAGGGGATGAGTCATTGTCACTGTCAGGTCAGTAACCAGGGTTCACTCAGGCGCGATCGCTACTGATTCGCTGCAAGCGCTTAGGCAGCATATTTATGTTAAATTTCGGCGAATATGTGAATATGATATCGCTTAAAAATGGAAAGGCTTATCAAATAGTGCTTTTGAAATAGACTCTTAATTTAAAATGTACTTAATTAAGTAATATACTGCTGAAATGCATCTAACCACTAACTACAACCTCTATATTTAAAGAGGATTAATCACCTGTAAAATTTTTGGTTTATGCTCTGCAGTTCAAAGGTCAAAGTGGTGACAAATGCGACGACCTAAGGCTTTTAATCTCGCTTGTTTATTTTAACCTTCTTACCGGCCATGTGATTATTACAGCTGACGCGCATCATGAAATCAACTATCTGTGCTACTGACGTGGCTTTGAGGTGAACTCCGGTAAACGCAGTTCTCCAGTAGCCAATCAGATTGTGACACTTGACAATGTTAGCGGTCATTAATGAGCTTTCATACACGTTCAAACAAATGTGCCGCATTTCAGTTAAAGTAATGCACTGTCACGTGGATAAATGCTCGGTGTTAATCCCACTGTAACAATGTTAAAATAAGTGCCTAGTTCATTTAGTTCCCGGTGTAAAAGCAAGGATATCTTTGCTACAGCTGGTTTTATTTGCTCTTTAAAAAGTTTTTTTTTGACTACACAGTTGGAAGTGTTTACGAAGCCTTCGCCTGTGTTTTAGCACTGGGTCCTTTTACGCTAGTAACAACTCTTCTTACGTCTAGTAACTATTCTCACCTAACTGTCTTACTTTCACCACGCAGACCTTGCTGACCGTGTTCTAAGCCTAAATGTTCTCAAAAGAGCAGGGTAGGTTCAAACTCTTGAACTTGTTGGAATACGCCTCGTGGAGGGTGTCGTTAATGGGTATTAAGTCATCCAAGTCGGAGAGTATTGCACTTTGCAGGCGTCCGAAGACCTTTTCCATGCAGTTGACGTAGGTTATGTGGATCGCTTGAAGGTTTATCTCAAAAATTCGGCGATTTTCCGCTAACGCGTTCTCCAAGCCCTCAACCTTCTCCGTGAGTTTACCGATGGTCTCATTCGCTTCCAGAAGCTGTCGCTCCGATGTCTGTAGCTGTGTTTGCAAGCCAAAGAGCGTCGCCCTGGCCTCGGCCTGGAAGGACTTCAGGGACGTCAGAATGGCGAAAATGACCTGCTCCAGATCGTCCACGACCATTTGCGACTGCTGCTTCAACTGGACTTTGTTCTGCTGCATCTTCTTGACAGCCAGATCGGACTTCTTGTTAATCTCCTCTGAACGACATGCTCGGAACGTTAGTAGTCGGGCGATGACTTGGAGTTTCTCAATTTGCTGGAGCAACTGTTCCTCACTCGTGGGAGGCTTGGCTGACATGGCTGCTGCTTCCTACCTTTAATCTGCTTTCACCCGACTCTAGACAGTGCGACGAAGCGAAATCCGAGTGATTTCATTGGTGCTTTGTCTGGACATCGATTTTTTCCTGTCAGGCGCTATTTGACAGCTGACTCGAATAACAAGCCTATCTCATGTAATTAAAGAAAGACATTATGCCAATCACCACCTCCTTCCTTCCTAGTAATTAAATTAAGTCATCAACGAAAGACAATTTAAATCGCAGACCTAATGCAGCAAATCGCTTGGACTTTTCGTAAAATTAAAATGTGTAGCTAAGTTGAAAATTGGAAGAGGAAACTCTTTTAATTACTGATTGCAGAGCTTCACAAAGATTTAAGCCAAAATTCCCATTTTAGGAGAAATCTAGCTGAGAAAGCAAGTCGCTATCAGGTCCCACACAAGAGCACTTACAAACACTGCGATAAAGGATTGATTAAATGACACGCTGATGCTGATTGGCTTAGCTCAAATGACCCAATCACCGAGCTCCACCGCTTATAAACACTGACCTTCGCGTATTTATGCAGTCAGCAGCCATATTTACATTCTAGAGCTAAAAGTTGACCAATTTTAGCTAGATGAATTCTAATTAAACCTTTAGTAGAACCTGTCATCAGTTATGTGCGGTAACATCATTTACCACTCACAACTATTTTGAGTCAAGTATTTTTAGAATTATGGTTCGAGGCGTATATATACTAAACTGGCATAAATGTCCTTTCTAAGCAGTTCAGAAGACTTTACTGCAGAAATGAATTAATTTTTGTACATCAAAGAAAATTAAATGCTCAACTATGGTGTCTTTCAACCTCGTATTAGCGACAACCATGTGCGAAAGTTTTGTTTTGCTTCCGTTCATAAAAGCATTGCTACTAACGCACAAAAGTAGACCGTGTATTAGAAAATGAAAAAAACAGAAGAGAGAAATGGGCCAAAAGGTAAAATATTGCTTTCTTAGAATTCAGGCAAGCAGTCGAGCCCAAATATTTACCAGCAAACAGATTGCTGTCGGATATTGCAAACCGAGAGTGCAAATGTTCTCCGCGTAATTTCCAACGCTGCCATGTGAGTTTAATCTATTTGTAAGGGATTTATGGCGAGCACCATGTGAATGCAATCAGCAACAGTGAGCGAACGTAATTCAATTGGTTCACGTAAGCCAATAGCAGTGGGGCACCCCATTTATCAATCAATTTAGTTCATAACGTGCAGAATATTCGAGCCCTAATAGGAAGAAGACTGGTACAACAGAATAGGCTTTATTGACAATCACAAGCCAGAACCACACGTCAGGCGCCTTCCATCCAAGTAAACCATGCTGGCCACTTCGCTCATTATATACTGTTCCTCATTCGTGTCTTTTTCTGGTTGGCTGCATATCATCCTCGCATGCCATTGGATTGCAGAGAGACAGAGGATTGGCTGAAGCCAGAGTGGTCAAATATGTCTGCGCATTTATTCGTCACCACAAACGTTGCGTAATACGAGCAAATCTCCCACTCTCACGTTTCTCCTACTCTTTCGCAAAACACTGTCAGAGTTGTTACAGACAAAAAGTAGCATGTTGTTAGCAGTACGTGATCGACTGTGCTGTCGTAACAACGAACATCAGCTGCAAGGTATCTTGTACTAATCACAAAACAGCTGTATATATCACATCCAAGTGCGCGCAGTGACATCTGTTCTGTGTGACCGCAAAATATGACCACAACTGTGTTCACGTAAGCCAATAGTAATTGAGCACCCCATTTATCAATCAATTTAGTTCGTAACGTATAGAATACCCGAGCCCTGTCGTGAATCCTGTTTATTCAACCCCCTAATTCGGTCGCTCCACCTCCTACACAGGGTTTCCCTTGTGGCAGCATGTCGCCAGCCGCTCTAATCCTCAACTTTCCTTTCATTAGCCCGAATATTCATCTAGGAGTGTCCCCACACATAAGTCTCGATGTTGGCGCATGTATGACTCACACATCCGAGCTATAAATGCACACGCTCAAACACCACACACGACACAACGACACCAACGTGGTTAACCTCTGAAATAAACGCTTGTGTCTGTCCTCTCTGGCCTTTTCCTTTCATCGCGGGCACCAGGCAAGCGTAATCGGGCCAGGGTTAATTCTGTGGCCCCGGCGTGGTTCAAGACCGCATGTTGGGGCCCACAACAATCTTTTTCATTAACCTGGTTGTCTGATTTGCAGACTCACTGCCCTCTTTTCTTCACAGAACCGTCTGTTCATTCAGACTAGTGCATGTACCTGAAGCGGGTTAACTGCGATTGCGCCCCAGTGAACCCTGTTCACTGACCTGACGGCGACAATGACTCATCTCCTTTCCATTGGTTACTGTTATCAAACGCCTGTCATCAGTTCACTCATTCGCACACTAAGACACACTTGGCTGGCATGACGCCGATAAACCGTCGTGTCCTCTGTAGCCTCTCTTCACTCCGTTCTCGGGTTGTTACGGGCTGTTAACTAGAGGGTTTTAAGGTAGTGCTAGACACAATCCACTACATGCCCCTCTTACTACTCATCCGGTCATTCAAGTGGGGCGAATAGCAAGCGAGCAGAGCGGGTGTGAGCGTACCCAATTCAATTGGTTCACGTGAATGCACTTCACGTAATTGCGTTCATTCCGGGATTAATGTTTAGCAGATCCTGCATAAACTGACGTGTTATCTTAAACGCCGGCACACACACCACTACTGCAGTTTCATTTTGCCTTTCAACAAAATTCTGTTTCTGGGTGTCTTTCTTACTTTGACGGAAAGGAAATGTTGAAAATTTGTAGCAGTTGTGTTAAGATCAAATCAATCACTCGTACTCAAATCTTTATGCATTTGTTGTGATAATGTAGAAACTAGTTTGATAGCTGAGAGTATGAATCTGATATGCTTTGCCAAATTCAACATTCTACACAATTTCGCCTTTTTCCGTAACTTTCGATATCTGATTCGATCGTGACGTGATGTTATTTTGCATTTTGTCCAGTCACTAACAGTAAATGCATTTAAGTGTGAGTTTGACCGTAGGATTACTTGATATGAATACGCATTTTGTACTTTAAAGTAAAAAAATACCCATCTGCAGTTATTTGTCAGTCAAAATTCAATTCATATTACGCAATCACCAAGCACTTTCAATAACGGTCTATCATTTTGTGTTGGATACGATGAAACAATACCAATACAGAAAGAGTGCTGTGATGTCAAACAGCAACATGGTAATTAAGAAATATCAGTACAGGAAAATTCATACAAGAAAATAGCTAGTTCAAGGACAAATTTGTCAGCTGGGGAAACAGCAACGCACCTGGAGCGTCTACGCAAGGAGGCAACAAAGAAAGTACAACAAATACAGAATCGTGATTCGTGAGAGCATTGACGATACTGAAGTCGTTGAGGTAGTTGAAGAAATGGAAGTGTCTGGCAAAGGTGAGGTCGTTTCAACTGACGCAATGCTGACGCACTGTTTGCGTTGGCAAGTTAATCTATCGGGACAAGCACTGCAGGAATTTCCTTTGTTGTAGGGCTTGTCAGCTGAAATCGCTTTGCTAAAAATTTTGCAAGCAATCGACAATCACATGTAAAAGTACCTCTTAAATGCACATAATGTAATCAAACTAACCATCATTTTTTTTGCACAGGACGCAAGGAAGCTATTAAGAAAGTTGCAAAATGCTGGGTTAACAGGTAACTTACGAAGGCTTATAGAGACATGCAGTTAGGTAAGCGGTTTCTGCCGCGAAAACACCTTGAATGGTGCGCTGTATTTGTGCGCAACTAATTGCACTCGCAGTTGCCAAAATCATCTTCAAGACAATCAGCATTGTAAGTTAATTTGCAGAGTAGACATATAAAACAACTAATGTTGTAGCAATTTTACTCAGACTACACTGACAAAGGATTATGAAATACATCAGGTAACTGCAGAAACAGTAACTTACTTGCTTGCAATCATGACAGCAGCTAATTCAAGCATTTTCCTCATGCTCGTAATACTGCCTTTGAGAAGCCATAGTAGAAAGCACTGCGACAAATGTGGGCTTGACAAGTTTACTAAAATCACCAGTTATAGTAGCATTTGGAGGGAGAGTGGTGGAGTTAGTTTTTTTCATCGGACAGGTGGCAATCACTGCCTGCGTGAAGTTCTCCAATTTCAAAGAGTACCTCTGTACATTTGAACGACATAGGGAGGCGTTAGATGTACAACAAATAATACTGATTCCGACGCATAACTGGTTAGTGTGACCAAAAAAATCATAGAGAGGTCATTTGAGGCAACAATATTTTCATTACCAACTCACCAGAAGAATCATGTTGCTTGCTGGGGGCTCTACCGATTCACGCAGTTATGTGTGCAATTTCACAATGTCTTCGCATTCCATCTCTGAAGGAACGTCGGTCAAAGAATACCACATCAACATCAATAAGCAAAATGCTTTCCATATTTCTTCGTCTATGAATAAGGAAAGTGCTTAAAATACCGTGACGCGGCTGCCAGATACTTGAAATGCAGCTGGTGCAACTAAAACGAAATGTGTGCCCCTTTGGTTATTTCAGTGTGCAGCATACATTAGCGACTTCTGCTGGATTTGTAGCCAGGCATAGCCTGACCAGCGCAAGGCCACTTTCTGCAATGTGCCATTTATTATCATGGAAGTGATTTACCTATACGCCGCCAAAACAAAATTCACTTATATGTGGCTTTATGTTGATATTCTCTTTCCGAATTCCCGTACCATCCAAGGACTCCACCCTGTGAACGATAAGCCCATTAGGCATCAGAATATGGCTGGCGTGAACCATGCCTTCACGGAACACAGACAACCGAGATGCATTATGACAAATGCAGGCGCATAATCTTCAAAGAATTGAAGATGTCTGAATACAGGACTTCTATAAGAAAAATTATTCGAAAGCCATCAAAACAGTTTAAATCTTGTCCAGCGTAATGCAGAAAGCAACTTCATTC